TATATATATATAGACAAACAGGTTATACTAACAGTAATACCGGGTGTAACTTTTATTAAGTATTACACACCACTCGATAATTAATTATTATATTATGAATAATAATAATATATATATTTAATTCATCTTTAAAAATAATTGAAGTTAAAAGGAAAAGAAATTTGATTAAATTAATATATTTTAAAAAATTAAAGACTCAATTGAGTATTTTCAAAATAAATTTAATATTTAAATAAGAAAATTAATTATTGAATCTTTTAAAAATAAGATAATCAAATTTAACTTAAAAAATATTAAATAAATTATATGAATTATTATATAATATAAGAAATATTTATAATTAATATAAATAGAAATATAAATTATTAATTGTTATATTAATTTTTATTTGTTAAAAAAATTCAATCTTTAATTTGTTTCTTACGTTTAATAAAGTAAAACTGAATTCATCTTTTCTTTATGTTTTCCATTAAATATGGTACACAAAAGTTAAAGCTATTCATTATTCTAAATTATATTTTAATTAAAAATAATTTTTTAGTAAATAAAAAGTATTATAATAAATAATTAAACTAAAAAAAATAAATTATATAATAATTAATTTTTTTAATGATGTTAAATTAAATATTTTAATTATTTTATAAAAAAATGTTTTACCTACGGAATATTATCTACGGAATTTTTTCCGTAGATAATTTTCAGTTATCTACGGAAATATCCGTAGATAAGTTATCTACGGAAAATTCCGTAGATAACTTATCTACGGAAATTTCTGTAGATAACTTATCTACGGATATTTCCGTAGATAACTGGAAATTATCTACGGAAAAAATTTCGTAGATAATATTCCGTAGAAAATTAAATATTATCTACGAAAAATATTCCGTAGATAATTAAATGTTATCTACGGAAAAATTTCCGTAGATAATATTCCGTAGATAATATCAATTTTTCTTGTAGAGTTTTAATGTCTTTCTTATTTTTTTTTTCAAAATTCAAGCTAAAAAGTTATTGATATAATTATTTTGATTAACATATTTTAATGTAATAAATAAAATATGAATAATTAATCATTTTATTATTTAAGAAAAAATTAAAACTTGGCAATATGATTGTGAGATATGACTTAGGGGTAGAGGAACTTCAAGAATCAAACACTTCTCTTTCTTTTCTCAATTTCTTAAGGGATGATCTCTGAGACTCGGAGTTGAGAATGTTGTGGTGTAACTGTAGAACTTGAGTTGTTGGAACTCAGAGTCCATTTCTTTCTCATTCTCTTCTTCTACCTCGGAGTATCCTAGAGATCTTTGTTCTCTTCTTCTTCCTCAAAAAGCTCAAAATCAAGGTAAGAGAACCTGGAAATCTTGGGTTTTTGGTTAACATATTGGGTCGTAATGAATTAAGACTTAAAATTTGTAGAATTTCTAAATATTTGTGGCTATGGGGATGGATTCAAAGTGGTTGCATGTTGAAACTAGACTTTTGGTGTTCTTGATGGAATTGAATTTTCTTAGTGTAAGTGATAAAACTTGATAAACTAGAGGAGGGATTGATATTTCATTTGTTGTGATTGAGCCGATACTTTGGGCTTGAAAACAATTAGGTTAGTTCGGTATGATGGAAATCACTTAGATATTTATGTTGTTAGGAGATCTTCATAGGTAAATACATGATGACGCATTGGTTGATATGTTTTTATATGATATATGTTGAAGTGTGTTCATATGTACTATTGATGTTTTAAGGGACATGATTGGATGATGTACATGTTTGCTTCAAGTGTGTTAACTTTCATGTATGATATATGGTATGATGTTGTATATTATAGATTTGTTTTCTATATGTACATGTTTTCAAACTTTAGTTTACCCTTTATTGTTTTCATAGTGGTTTGAACTACAATGATCATATGTTGTATGAGAGCAGATTAAGGTTAGGCTTGAGGAGCTAATGTGGACAAATTTTGTGATCCTTTTTTATGACAGTACTATCAATCTATCTTGTATAGGTGTACTCGATCGACACTAGAATGTATGATAATTTGGGATTACTGTATAGATGTATATATACTATTTATATTAGTTTGGTTGTTTACTTATATACGAATATTATATATATGTATGTTATGTTTATTCCCTTAATCCTTTATGTTCTAGTAATTTAGTTTTTGCTGCTAGTAGTAGTGATTCCACATAGTAGATTGTTACAATGATAATCATTGTAATTATTTTCAATATGAAAAATACTTATATATAATATGTTATTTTTTTTATCATTTTATTAAAATTGTAGTAAAAAAGTACTTATATATAATATTTAACTATTTAGATAAGAGTTTATAAAAGTTATAATTTTATTTAGTCTTTATCTTTTAATTATTAAACTTTTCTTAATTATAAAGTAGGCTTTTTGTAACTTGACTAGACTAGATCGACTCAAATACATTTATAACACAGACTTTGTTGAATTAGGTTAAAATAAGTTATATTTAATTTAAACTTAAAATTTAAAGCTTAAATCCAATAATTTATTAAATGAGTTTGAATTTGTCTGAAGTAACAAGTTTGACTCATTTTTGTTAAATCCAAAGCTAATGAATTTTTTTTTTAATTTTTGCACCAATTATTTGATGGCGCCCTGTTTTATTAAAAAAATAATATAAATATTTCTTTATATTTTTAATCTATTCCGTTTTTTATGTTACCCATACAGTATTTCTTGTACGTAACACATTTATGTATTTCTTTATATTCATAAAATATTAATTAATTATATATTAAAGTTCTTGTTTATGTTATATATATTAATAAGTATTTTTTTCTTGATACTTGACCATATAGTACTATAAATACCGTTGATGTTATTCTTCAATTATTCAATCAGAATTGAAGTTTTAGGTTAAAATAAAATTTTGAGTCTGTTTTTATTTGATATTTTAATTTAATTTAATTCCTTGAACTTGAAAAAAATATTTTTTAATTTCTTAAAGTATTTTTATTAGTCAAATTGATTTTTCTATCAAATGTTTTACATTAATATAGTATAACCTTAAATAAAAAATAAGGGATCTAAAGAGAAATGTTAATAACATACTTTTTTAAAACACATTCTTTAATTAATTAAAATTTATTAAAAATACAATATTAATATGACTCATATCTTATTTAATGATTTTTTCTATTAATTCTATAATTTTCAATAAATTCTAATCAATTAAAATGAATATGTTAAAATAAGTATGTTAGAATATATTTTGTTAACACTCCTTAAAATCAAAATTATATTTTACTCAGGGTTTTATTTTAATAATATACGTCAATATTTAAATAATTGTTTTTTATTACGCATGATTTTGTTTAAGATTAATGCTTACGGTGTTGCATGTAAATTTTATATCCAAATTAAAATTCTGCTCCCACTCCCCATTACCATGACCATATTTACAGTTTCTATGCTTCTTTCAGTAATAACTAAAAAATGTTAATATATAATAAATCCACGAGATTTTATAATGTTCTTTACCATTTTCTCATTAATTGAAATTATGTTGTTTTATCAAATCGAAGAAAATTTTGAATAGTCAATATTTTTAATTGTTAATATTTTTACTAATGAACTCCCTAATTCACATATGGAAAGTTATGTCATTTTGCCTAACTTAAGAAGATACCTTACTTTATTATTTATGAGTTATGTACACACGTGCATCACATTTTATTAGAAGTTTGACAAAAATTAAAGGATGTGCTTAGACGAGGGATTCAAGGGTGAAAGAATGGGGAGAATCAACATTTGAATAGAAAGGAATAAAGAGAAAATAGTTAAAAGAAAAGTCAATGGTGTTAATAATGGTTCCGACAACCTAAAACTTCCAAATTCAAATGAGACGGATCAACGTTGCATCATCAACTTTGCAAATTCTTCATAGCTAACTCGACCATCCCCATCCATATCTGCTGCTCTAATCATTTGTTTAGCTTCTTCCTCTGTTAGCCTCTCTCCCAATTTCATCATTACGTGTCTCAGCTATAAAACACAAACCATCAAAACTCTCTTTTTTTAATCACCGTTAATGAGTTAGCAAGTAATTAAGAGAAAAGTAAAACTCACTTCATAATTATAAACCCTACGTGATTGAATATACTTACTTCTTTATATAAAAAAAAATCTTAAATTAAAATTAATCTACACATAAACAATTTTAATGTGAGGCTGCATGAAAGGTGAAGAAATGCAAAATTTTAGCTGCATGGGAAGTTGTTTACCTCAGTAGCTGATATATATCCATCATTGTCTCTGTCAAATACTTTGAACGCGTCTTTTAGCTCCTCAGTCAGATTCTCCTAACAAAATTGAAAATTAATTTAATCATGACCTTTACTTAAGCAGTCAGATAATGACTAATGCTGGATTTTCCTCAGTCAAATTATTATAATGGCAATTAATTTCATAAGTAAGACCTTGGCCTTTTCTATCAAAATAAAAAGTGACAATTATACTATCTCTCTTCTCAATATACTTGCACTTTGTTTTGTTTGATTTTCTTATTGTCATTCAATTTTATTTTATTTTTTTTAAATTTCATTTGTGGGGTGTGAATTCTCGAGAGCTTGCTTTCACGCACAGACCCTCTCTTTCATGGGAGAAATGCTCTGTTCCAGTATAAATCAACTTTTAAAATACAAATAAAATAGCAAAGATTAATTTTGTAAACGTGAACGAACTCAAATAAAAATTATATGCAAATGATCTTTGTTTAGAGAATATTTGTTTTCACCGTAAGAGCTACAACTATTCCACTTAAATTAACTTAAAATCGTCTCTACTAAACAAAACAATTTTTTTTTTTAAATCCGCACAAATACATGCACATCTCCAATTAGAGCATTAGTAATGAAGGTAATATTTGAGATATCAAGTTATACATGTAAGCTTTAAAATATTAAATATTCATCAATTTAGTTGTTAAACAGATATATTTTATTAAGAAACTAATTAATTAATTTGTAAAAAAAATAGTCGAGAGACTACTTAGCTTGATTTATAATACGTATTATTTTTAATATAAAGACTATTTTAAAAAAGAAAAAAAAAGTAACAATATAAGAATATGAAATTGATGATATAATTTGATTTTTATTTCTTACCTCCATTGTCATTCCCATGATATTCAAGAACTCTTCAAAATTTACACTCCCGTTCCCATTAATTTCAACTTCTCTTAGCATTTCTCGAATTTCTTCTTTTGTTGGGTTTCCGTCTAAAGATTGGATAATGGATTTCAGTTCGTCCACAGTAATGAATCCTAGACATCACAAACATGCATTTTGAATCAAAGTTAAGTAAAAATGGTCTTTATTAAACAATCATCAACATTATTTTATGTTAGAACTGGGACATGCAAAAGAGCACACCGTCAGAATCCTTGTCAACAACGTCAAAGGCTTCATGGAATATAGCTATTTGATCTTCTCTCCATGCATCTGCCATTATAAATTTGCTGCAGCAGCCTCAACTGAAGTTGAAATTTAATTTGCTTATTGCCGATGGAAGAGTGTGGTAGAGCAATTTTAATTTGTCTTTTTAATAATACTATGTTCCTTCAGTTTCACTTTGCTTTTATAGATGTCTTGTGGGACATTTCTTCTTCTTCATTGAAATAGTCAAAGCACGTTCGATGGGGAATTCTTCCTATTCTCAATTCAAAAGACTAGAATTTTTCCAGAAGCATATATGATAGGAGTCACAATTTAATGGAAGAATTTTTCAATGGGGTTCCTTTCTTGTTCCAACTCCCAACTACAAAAGGAATCATATATTAGCATCTAATGAATATTAATTAAGAAATTAATATTAATGTAAAATTATTGTTTTAATAGATATTAATTAAGAGGTAACAATTTCCATTTAATTAAAGTGAGAGTAATGAATGAGTATACAGTATATCTTTATTATTGGAACTGGACAATTCCACCAAACCGGACAACAGTCTAGTTTAATTAGGTAGCCCTAAAGAATATTCTCATGGAACCGATGTAAAAACAAAATAAATTCATTAAACCGAGACAAATTAATCATATTTGACGACAATTTGGTCAAATAGGTTCAAATATATATATATATATATATATATAT